CATCATCAACCTGAAGCAGGCAACGATTCTGATGATCCTGACTGTGATGATGATAATGACAACAGTGGTTTTCATGTTACAGTTGTGATCAATCTAAATAGTGAATTTGTTTTCTAAGATTTAATCGAGAAAGTGCGAAAAATTGCAAAAATTTTCAGAACGTCACCGACTAAAAATACGATTCTTCAGAAATATGTGAAAGAATAAATTAGCCATGAGCTTAATTTGATTTTAGATTGCAGCACAAGGTGGAATAGTTTAGCAGACATGTTAGAAAGGATAGTGAGGCTAAAAAATCCTATTAGGAAAGCGCTCTTTGAGTTAAAAATCGATCTTGACATAACTCAAGGTGAATTTGAAAGGCTGTTTAATCTCAGCAAAATATTTGAAATTCTGAAAGCAACGGTGGAAGAACTTTGCAAAAGTAACGCCAATTTAATGACATCTGATGCAGCTTTGATGTTTATGTTTAAAAATTAGATACCATGCATCATGAAATAGTTGGACATGAACTTGTTGCCTCTCTGAAGCGTCGGATTAAAGAGCGCAGATTGTTGGTTGCTTCAACATTGAAATACTTGCATAACCTTAAGACGTACTTTGATTCGTCAAATGCGTACTTGGACGTATTTCTAAGGACAGATTGCGATCAGATGCGAAAACATATTGTGGATATTCAAAAGCTTGGTCAAAAAAGCGGATTCTTCGTTGGAAATATCTATGGACAATGAAATTGAACATCTTGGATCTGAACTTGACAAACTTGAAGACACACTGCCGCTTAAGAGACAATTAGAGATTGAAATACAAAAGAAACGTCAGACTCAGGATAATACTTCCAGGCCAACTGATGGAGACATTGATACATTCGTAAAAATAGAGATGGCTTTATTTGAGAATGGCAGTACAAGAGGAAAATATCTAGAAATTGCGTATGGTAGCCTAAGGTCTATTCCTCCGACCAGCGTGGAGTCTGAGTGGGTGTTCTCGTCATCAGGTTACTTTTGTAACCATTTGCGCTCGAAATTAAGCGACCAAACATTACACGTTGTCATTTTTACGATCTCATTATTTAAATTTGAACAAAGATTAAAACAACACAAATTATTTTAATATTTGATTAATAAAACTATTTAAATTCAAAAGTTAAGACTATTATTTTTATTCGTTTGATTAAATTTTGAATTTAAACAGTTGTGTTATTGTTAAAAGCTTATTAAAAATAAAAATGTTATTTTTTCTTCAACTTTTTTTCATTGATAAATCCTCACCTCTAATCTCGACAAAAAATTCTCTAAATATCGAAAATATTGAAAATACCGGGATTCTGTCATTCGTAAACTTCAATATCGAAAATACCGGTTTTGTTAAAAGGAACTGGTATTGCGACCCCTAGTTTATAGTTTACTTTCATTATAAATAAGTTCTGTGGAAATAGAAGTATTCTCAACACATATCGTGCTTCATTGTCATCTAACATCAATGCAATATAAAGACTTGTACATCGTTTAAAATGGCTGTGTTAATGTGTAAATATATGATCTAAATTTTGGCTGAAACAAAAACCTTACAATTTCAATTGTTATAATATAATATTGATAGTAATAATTAGTAATCAATTGATAAAAATACATTGTAAATTAATTTTTTATGAATCACGAGAGCACATTTTTTGGAGGTTTATTTATGTTAACACAAAGGATTTCATACACGCAAAAAACATGGAGCCCTGTGAATATGGACGTTACAAGTTCTACACCAATTGCTTCACATTTAAATGCAGGATAAACATTATACTTTAATATGCAGGTAAGTTTCTTCTCACACAAGAACATTTTCATTTAGAGGACGGAAAAAGCAGCACAGGAAAGGAGCACCACAGATTGGCTAGGGTCAATAGATGCTTTAAAAAAATTCCACTGACAATTTTGGCCAATGTAAATGACAAGGTGCAATTGGTTCTTAATTATTGTGAAAATAACACAAAAAATACTTCTGAGAATATTGCAATCTCATTATCATTAAGCTTTTTACAAATTACACAGAAAATATTTTCTTGCAGATGCTCATGATCCTACACAAAACATAACCAACTCAAGTCAGCAAAGACTCTCCTAGTAGTCCTAGAAGTTCTAGAAATGTTGTTCCATCATTTAAAATCATGCATAGAAGATCTGATCACAAAAAATTATGTCTATAAAAAAAAATAAAGGAGTCGATAACATGCTTTACACCAATCATTAAATTAGAATAAATTAAATATTTAACAAACAAGTTTTGGTTCCTAGATGAATACTAAATTGCCACAAAAAAAAAAATAACTGCTAGAGTTATCAGCATACTATTTCTTGTTTTAATGTTAAAAAAAACAACTAAAGGTACTATTTTTCTGAAATATATGTGGTCAACTGTAAATCTATTGATTACAATTGTGCATAGATTGAAACAAGTAAGTGAGATCTAAAATAAAATGACACAAAAAAAAAAAAAAAAATATTTGAATGCCTTATAAAAACAAAATAGCTTCTACATGACAAGTATGATAAAGAAAAATAAATTAAAAAAAGTAAAGAAAACTTATTTTTCTGAAATATATGTGGTCAACTGTAAATCTATTGATTACAATTGTGCATAGATTGAAACAAGTAAGTGAGATCTAAAATAAAATGACACAAAAAAGAAAAAAAAATATTTGCATGCCTTATAAAAACTAAATAGCTTCTACATGACAAGTATGATAAAGCAAGATCAATTTAAAAAAGTAAAGAACACCACTCCGTGAAAGAAGGAGTTCGGGGAATGCACTTTGACAAAGAACTCTCAGATATGTGATAAGCACTCGGCTATATTTGTACAATATTTTATAGATACAAGTTATCAGGTCAAAGTTTTAGATAAAAATAAATTGTTCCATATTCATAACAGTACAGCACACACAGATAGGTCATAGGTTGTCAAGTAGATAGATAGGTAGGTTGATCATAGGTTGTGAATTAGGTAGATAGATCAAAGATTGTCAAGAAGGTAGATTGGTCATAGTTCATAGGTTGTTAATTAGGTAGATAGATCAAAGATTTTCAAGAAGGTCACAGGGTGTCTGTACTGTAGCTAAAGCAAAGATGGTCAAAAAGGCAGATAATCAAAGATTGTAAAAAATGTAGATTGTCAAAAGGTATATATTTCAAAAGGTTGCTCAGATAGGGTAGATAGGTCATAATTAGCCAAACCATCCTTACAATACTTACATTACAACTATGGTACCCCTAAAATACTATATAAGGGTTATATTTTAAATTTTGTTTATGGAAAAAAAATGGTTTACATATATAGAAAATAGAAGTATTAACTTCACATAACCAGTGGCTGATGAATAAAACCAAAATAAAAATTTGTTAATATTGTTTAAAAGTGGAATGTTCATATGTTTTTACTTTATATACCGGTACCGGTAACATATTTTAACATGACTTATACAGGAGAAGTTCAGTCTTCAACAATTACAAAAATGCCAGGTGGAATGTCGATTAAATGGGAAATAACATGAAATAATCATGAAATAACATGACTTGAATGACCGCATGTTAATCAAGAGCTCTTCAACATAATGAGCACTGCAGGGATAAATGACTCATTAAATGGGAATTCCAAACAAAAGTTAATCATGAAATACCATGATTTGAATGACCACATGTTAATCAAGAGCTCTTCAATATTATGAGCTCTGCTGGGATAAATGTCTCATTAAATGTGTAAAAGTAAAAATAAAACAAAACACTGAAATTAGCATCAGGATAGATTCAAATTCCAAGGATTCTGAGACAAGGACAAACTAGAGATTGAGTAATATTCGACATCTCAATTTACAGCAGAGGGTAGTCTTAAATCTTTGTTTAATTAAGATTGTACCAAAGACTATTCTTGGTCAAGAATAAAAAAGAAAGTTATTTCACATGGTATTAGATTTTGTAGAGATGTCATTCTCAAAGAGTTGTCAGTCTACTTGATATCGGCGGCACAATACACATTGACCAACACTGAACCAGTCTTACTATTCAAAGAGCTGTCAGTCTACTTGATATCGGCGGCACAATACACATTGACCAACACTGAACCAGTCTTACTATTCAAAGAGCTGTCAGTCTACTTGATATCGGCGGCACAATACACATTGACCAGCAAAGGACCAGTCTTACTATTTAAAGAGTTGTCAATCTACTTGATATCAGGCAGCACAATACACATTGACAAGCACTGAACCAGTCTTATCATTCAATAGGATTTTTTGCAAACACCATTTACACACACATTTAGAAGCAGAAGATTTAGTGGATCAATCTAAACATCAAAGTATAATTTTAAAGGGTCTTAACAAAAAAATCAACCTACGAATTAATTTAATTATTTTAACTTCCATATTCTATTTTTATTCACAATGAAACAATTTAAACATATGATTTTTTAAAACCTCTTGAGTTTCAGCCTCAAACAAAACTAATTTAATTAAAATTCAGCAAACATGAATTGAATTTTGACCTGAATGAAAATCCCGCTATTCAGAGATTAATCTTTAATGGCACAGAAATAAAAGACGCAGGTTCTTTTAGAAGGTAATGACTATGATAAGTAATCAAGTGCTTGAATAAAGAATTTATTGAAATCCTTAAGATTTGTTGATCTAGGCATTTTGCTTAAACTTAAAGTAATTAAAGTGACATACTTTTCAGCGACTAATTAACTCAACAACTGATAAAATTCAAAATAAAAACTTTAAAAAAAAAAAAAACAGGTTGCAAAATGTTATTTATAAAGCAAAAAAAAAAAATTAGAAAAAATATTTATTAATAAAAAATAACTAACAAAAAAATAAATTAAAAAATATTTTGCTTAAACTTAAAGTAATTAAAATGACATACTTTTCAACGACTAATTAAATCAAAAACTGAAAAAAAAAAAAATAAAAAAATTAAAAAAAAAAAAAACAGGTTGCAAAATGTTATTTATAAAGCAAAAAAAAAAAATTTGAAAAAATATTTATTAATGAAAAATAACTAGCAAAAAAATAATTTAAAAAATGATAGATATAACGGTATAAATTATCTACATCATAAATTTGGGTCTTCATCAACAAACTCTTCAACACTGGGTCGGTCTGAGGCAAATGGTTCCTTAGGTTTTTTCACCCTTTTTCTCAGAGCCAGGCAGGTAAACAAGAACCCTAGCACTGTACCCAGGAGTAAACAACCCACAGCTACTCCTGCCACAGTATCTGCAGGGTAAGAAATGAGAGTTAGTTTTCCTCATAATGACTGTCTGGTCAACACAAAAATCAGTGGAGAGCTGAAACTATTTACAGCAGGGGAAGCAAACTAAGTGAATTAAAAGAACTCTGTTTAAAAAACACAAAAAAGGTGGCATTTCATAAGAAAAAAACTGTTCAGATTAGTAACATCTGCTTTGCAACACTACATTAACCCACGAACTGTGGTCGGCCGAAGAAATAGGCTGACTTTCTCGTTATGTACTGTGTCGGGCGAAAAAATCGGCAGATAAAAACACGATCCGATAGCACCATCCAATCCAATATTTAACGGGATTTATAGCCACTTCCTTTTATTAATAATTAAATCATCTTCCGGTTCAAGCTGTTTCGTGATAACTTGAAAATAAATACTTTTTAATCTGCGTTCGCTCTCCTGTACTGTATACTATATATACAAATGATATTCAAAGCTCAAGCAACACCTTTTCAATCTTAACATTTGCTGACGACACCACGATTGTTGGCTCAATATCTGAAGGAGAAGGCCTATACTTAGTAACAAGCTTTATCAATTGGTGCGATGAAATTTTCTCCCGTTGAATGTCTCAAAAACAAAAGAAATGGTTGTTGATTTCAGGAGGGGGAAACACCTGATTACAGATCTCAACATAAAAAATCAAAATGTGGAGAAAGTGGAGGCGTTCAAGTACTGAGGTGTCACCATTAATAATAAGCTAACATGGCATGAGCACGGCCAAAGCCTGTATAAGAAATTCAACCAAAGACTGTTCTACCTCAAAAAACTGTACAATTTTGGCATAAACAAGCAAGTCGTTATCTTATTCTACAGTGCAACTATTGGAAGCCTGCTTAATTTCAGTATTACCTGCTGGTGTGGGAATTTAACGTCTGATATTAAACACCGCATAAACCGATTAATCAAGAAAGTTAGAAACATAACACAAACTAAACATCCTTCACTTGAAGAACTATTTGAAGAAAGATGTTTTTGCAAAACTAAACACATTTTTGATGATACATCCCACCCTCTTCATCCTAGATATTTAGGATCGGGCCGTTCGGGACGAATTCTTTCCATCAGGGCGAGGACTGACCGATATAAAAATTATTTTGTTCCCCAATCTGTACGAATTTACCGGCGTGCTTCCTCTGAAGTCACACATCTGAATGAGAACTAATAAGTCCCTGATTTTGCTAAGAGAACTCACTGAATGGCTGTTTGAAATAATTTATTATAAATGTCTTGTGTTCAAATTGTTTTATTTTTGTGCTGAAAATGTATAATGCAATAAAAAAAAACATTTCCATTTATTTGGATCAATAAAAGAATCTTATCTTATCATTATACCGCTGTTTTTTTTTAAAAGCTAAAATGGTTGAAGCCATGGCTGGGCCTTCCGTGCAAGAACTAATAGAAATATGTTTGAAAACTTTTTAGGAGAGGTTTTAAGTGATACTGATGATGATTTTAACATTCCCCATGACGATATCAGTTGAGATTATTCTTCTCGTGAATTTTATTCTAGTCTTTGCGATACTGAAGTAGGCCTACTGAGGCTACTGTTAGACTTCGAGCCAGGCCCGGAGGTTGGGCAAGGACTGACTGAATTTTAGTCATAGAAGCTACAGATTATAGTTCAGAACTAATAAATTGTATAGTTAAACAACCCAAATCAGTTCCACAGTTCCTTTTTAAATTTTTACTAGTTAATAAGAACTATTTTGCCTGAGATTTTTTATTTTGTACTTGGTTTTAGCAGCGGTCCCAGTATCTTATAAATATGACCTAAAGTTGCTTTCAGACGTTTAATTGCAATCAGAACCGTAGCAAACTTTACATTTTCTTAAAGATAAATGAATTGCCTACAACATTTAGATTTGTGTTTTAAGTGTATCTATAAAAATTAATGATGTTCTAAGCACTTGGAAGCAAGACATTTTGTCGATTTTTTTTCTTGAGAACTCCAAGGTCAAGGACACTGAGCAAAATTTTTTTAAGGGGTGGGCAATACGGCCAACTTTATCCCCATCCAATTACTTTTCTAAAAATGTATACTTATAGGGGTCTTGTATCAATATTTCTATGTCATTTAATGCAATTTCAAATGGCACTCAAAACGCTCTGAAAAGCTCTACACCACAGAATTATGCATGCCACAGTTCGTGGGTTAAAATACTTTTCAGGTTAGTAATGTCTGCTTTGCAACACTATATTAAAATACTTTTCAGGTTAGTAACATCTGCTTTGCAACACTACATTAAAATACTTTTCAGGTTAGTAACGTCTGCTTTGCAACACTACATTAAAATACTTTTCAGGTTAGTAACATCTGCTTTGCAACACTACATTAAAAAACTTTTCAGGTTAGTAGCGTCTGCTTTGCAAACACTATATTAAAATACTTTTCAGGTTAGTAACGTCTGCTTTGCAAACACTACATTAAAATACTTTTCAGGTTAGTAGCGTCTGCTTTGCAAACACTACATTAAAATACTTTTCAGGTTAGTAACATCTGCTTTGCAACACTACATTAAAAAACTTTTCAGGTTAGTAGCGTCTGCTTTGCAAACACTACATTAAAAAACTTTTCAGGTTAGTAGCGTCTGCTTTGAAAAAAACACTACATTAAAAAACTTTTCAGGTTAGTAACGTCTGCTTTGCAACACTACATTAAAATACTTTTCAGGTTAGTAACATCTGCTTTGCAAACACTACATTAAAATACTTTTCAGGTTAGTAACATCTGCTTTGCAACACTACATTAAAAAAACTTTTCAGGTTAGTAGCGTCTGCTTTGCAAACACTACATTAAAAAACTTTTCAAGTTAGTAGCGTCTGCTTTGAAAAAAACACTACATTAAAAAACTTTTCAGGTTAGTAACGTCTGCTTTGCAACACTACATTAAAAAACTTTTCAGGTTAGTAGCGTCTGCTTTGCAAACACTACATTAAAATACTTTTCCGGTTAGTAACATCTGCTTTGCAAACACTACATTAAAATACTTTTCAGGTTAGTAACATCTGCTTTGCAACACTACATTAAAAAACTTTTCAGGTTAGTAGCGTCTGCTTTGCAAACACTACATTAAAAAACTTTTCAGGTTAGTAGCGTCTGCTTTGAAAAAAACACTACATTAAAAAACTTTTCAGGTTAGTAACGTCTGCTTTGCAACACTACATTAAAAAACTTTTCAGGTTAGTAGCGTCTGCTTTGCAAACACTACATTATAATACTTTTCAGGTTAGTAAAATCTGCTTTGCAAACACTACATTAAAATACTTTTCAGGTTAGTAACATCTGCTTTGCAACACTACATTAAAAAACTTTTCCGGTTAGTAGCGTCTGCTTTGCAAACACTACATTAAAAAACTTTTCTAAAATAAACATGTGAAGTAGTTTAAATAGTTTATCTTTACCCTACAGGTAAATGGACAAAAATTGTTTGTTTTTTTTAACTTGAAATTTTTTTTTTTAACAAAACAGTTTTTCACATCAACCAGTCTGAATAAATGTATTTAACCCATGTGAACAACTTCAAGAGATTTGGCCAGATATATTCAATTATGTTTGAAAAACCTGCATAGTGAAAGTCATTTTTAGCTGGTTAATATTTAACATTATTTATAACTAACCTGCATAGTGAAAGTCATTCCTAGCAGGTTTTTGTGATGCCTGTAGAATAATTTCATGATTAACCCATGACCACATTTCCTGGTCATCGAAAAACATTTTACGGGGTAAATGTGAAACAAGGTCATCACCATACATAACACCAATACCTGTGAGGACAACAGAAATGCATGGACATTCAACTTTAGATGTTATAATTATTCTCTAAATAACCATATTTTTTTATTATGATTGTTAAAGTCCATTCAGTTTTATTCCAATATTTAATAACAATTATAAAAAAAAAAAAAAAGTTAATTTATAATTTATTTTTGTTTAAATCATGAGTTTCTAAACAGAGTTATGCCCCTTTGCTTAGGCATGTGAGAGGGTTTACATCAAAAGTAGGTTAGGCAGGAGAGTGTTGAAGCAAGAGTACCATCCAAAGAGTCGACAGAGTGACACATGGATCAATGCACCATTTGTATAATTCAGGGAGGTAGCTAAGAGTGACACTAAGTGGAACTAAGAACAACTTTAGCACACCAGCCATTAAAAAAGTGGAGATAATATAGTTGAGAGGGCATTCAAGAAAAGTGAAGGGAATATTAGGAATAAAGGGAATATTAGGAACAAAAGGAATATTAGGAACAAAGAGAATATTAGGCAAAATGAGAATATTAGGCACAAAGGGAATATTGGGAACCAGATAAATGGAAGCTTCAAATGTAAAAAAAAAAAAATTTGAATTGAATAATTAAAGAAATAAGAGTAAGTACAAGCCTCAGCCTGATGAATTAGGGTTGAAAAAAGATGTCAGAGTAAGATAATGGCATTATATCAGGTATCAGGGTCCACAAACAACAGTTTCTCTATGCAAAATGCACTTTGCAGGCTTCTAGCACTGACACAGCACTATATATAGCTAAAACTGCTTTAAACTGGATGCCACTTAAGGGAAAGAGGATAAGTTGGAAATTAGCCTGGACATTGCTGAAAATAAAAAGTCAGACAGAGAAAGAAAGGGGAAGATCAACTGTTGCCAAGAGCATTACTCAGTGTGGCAGGAACTAAGAATATGTTGCCCAGTGCACCACTCAGTGTGGAAGGAACTAAGAATATGTTGCCCAGCGCTCTACTCAGTGTGGAAGGAATTAAGAATATGTTGCCCAGTGCACTACTCAGTGTGGAAGGAACTAAGAATATGTTTCCAAATGCACTACTCAGTGTGGAAGGAACTAAACAATATGTTGCCTAGAGCATTACTCAGTGTGGAAGGAACTAAGAATATGTTTCCCAATGCACTACTCAGTGTTGAAGGAACTAAGAATATGTTGCCTAGAGCACCACTCAGTGTGGAAGGTACTAAGAATATGTTGCCCAGCGCACTACTCAGTGTGGAAGGAACTAACAATATGTTGCCCAATGCACCACTCAGTGTGGAAGGAACCAAGAATATGTTGCCCAATGCACCACTCAGTGTGGAAGGAACTAAGAATAGGAACTTGGAATTTTAAGCTTAAAAAACCCCAACAACCATTGAGTGTTAGCTTCAAAATGTTAAAATGATAAAAACCAAACTTCTTGGTAAGAAAAAACATGTCCAATAGTAGACATTTGAGGCACTTACCTTTAAGTCCCAGTTCATGGACCAACCTATACTTGTTCATTAAGCTAGAAGGATTCTCAAACCACACTTGATGTTGCTTATCGTTCTTCTATAAAACATTAGAAACAATTAATATTTCAGAGCATAAATGTTTGTTCTGAATATGAATGGAAAATGGGGTGTGCACAGGTGCCCTAATATGGATGCACTGCTATAAAGAAATAGATGATTTAAAACTGTTAGCAAGAAATTCAACATAGTATAAGTGCTTTTGAATACTCTTCAGCAGTCTTTGTCACTTAGTTGCAGCAATACAATAATAAATCCAAAATTAAGATTAAAATAACAAGGATAAAAGAACAGCTTACTTCATAATTAAAGTAGGGTGCATTGTAAAGTTCATTGAAATCACTTTTTAAATATTTGGCTGAAAAATTTGACATCAGGTCTGCATGTGACATCATCTTTCTATCAGCATAGTGACATTTTTCATCATGGTCCAGTATGCACACTTCATTCTAAAGTAATAATAAGAAGAAAAAAGACTCCAGTTAGATCAGAAGTGAATACATTTCCACGGCTCTACAAGAATTTAAAATGTTTTCTAAACAGAACACATCAATCTGAAATCAGGGTTAAATGCCTTTTATTCCATACAAAACTATTGGGATAGATTAGTGTAAATAATCATTAAATTTTATATTATGTTTAATGACCAGCTAGATCCCAGTGAAGAAATCTAAACAGAAATCCCACCGATGAACAGAAAAATGTTTTCTAAAAAATATTGCAAATCTACAAGTGCCAAAGACGGTGTGAAGTTTCACTGTAAGTATAGAGAGAAAATAGGGATTCTTATACTATTAATGCCTGATTCGTGGCCACCGATAGAAACATTGTCCGCCTTCAATTGACAGGCCACGCCTAATAAGTTTTTATTTATTTTCTAATTTGACCTAATTTGTTTCATGGATCAAAGACACGTTGCATCATGCAGAAATGTATTCAGTTATAAACCAGCTGTGGCAAACTAATGCTAGCTAAACATTACACTAGCTCAAATATACTGTATCCTGATCAAATATAATTTAATCAAATATCAATAATGATTGGGTGCTTCAGACAATTTTTGTTCAGGACTTAACATTTCTTAGTGGACTGAGAACAGTAAGTAGCTTGTAGTACAGAGAGCAATTTAAAGAAGATTATGGAGTAAGATTTTACACCAGAAAAACAACCTCAAATTTCAGCAGTAATACAATACTTCAATGTGTGTAGTGTGAGCATGGGAGTTCACTAAAAATTGTTGCACACCCGATATTGTGTTTGATTGTGGCGGGGTGTTTTGTGAGAGCTGGTTGTTAATAAATGTCCTTCAGGACATTTCGTTGGTGACATATTTGTATTGTAATTATGACTATTGTCACGACTGTCTTTGGCGTATGTACATATTCATTAGCAGTTGTCGAAAGAACCTTGTAGTGGATGGTTGTGTATTTTTCTCCTTATGGCGAGCTGTGCTCTACATGTGTGTGATTGAATGTAAAGCCCGTTTGATCTATTTATAGATTAAAGTTACATTACCAATGGAAAAGGACTTGTGTTTACTTCGGTGTATAATGACTATGAACATGTACAAGAATCTGAAGAATGAGAGCAAATAAAACATCGGAATCAATAAAACTCGTCATTTTCTTACTGTGAGGTAAAGGGCAAGAGCGTTATTATTATTTCAACTATACGACCATCATCGACTGTTCCTGTGTTTCATGGTCAGGGCCCTGCTGCCACCAAGTATCAAGTTTATATGAGTTACAGAGGCCAGTGACTATATAAGCGACCTATGTCCGGCCCTGTATCTTGTTACCTGTGTCCTGTCTAGCTCTAGTGAGTTACCAACATCTTGTCCTTTATCAATGAGTTACCAACATCTTGTCCTGTATCAAGCTGCCTACGCTCTATCCTGTATCGGCAAGTGCCCCTGTCCTATCCGGTGAGCTATCGACATCCTGTTGCCCTGTCCAGTCGTCTGCACCCCAAGACTGTGTCCTGTGATTTGCCAGAGTTACCTACAAACTGTCCAGTGTCAGCCAGTGATTATGTCCTGTCCAGTGAGCTGTCAACATCCTATTGCCCTGTCCGGTTGCCTATGCCAAACTACTGTGTCCAATGATTAGCCATAAGTACCTTTGAACTGTCCGGTGTTGGTGATTTGACAACGTCCTTCCTGCATCAGCGAGTCACCCACACACTTTCCGGTGTCGGTGTTTTTCCAACGTCCTGCCCTGTTTCCAGCGACCTACTTATGCACTGTACTTCATCAAATTGCCTACGAACTGTCCAGTCTCGGTGGGTGCTTATGTCCTGTCTAGTGTTGGGTGAGCTGTCAACGTCCCGTAAACCTAACCAGTCGCCTGCACCGGGTGCTGCAACCCGTGATTTGCCAAAGGTCTAGTGACAATTACTGAAATTCATGTGTTACTAATGGCACTTAATTAAGTTCAAGAACAGAGCGCCTGTGACTTTTTATGCTTATCTTAGTTCAAGGACCTCTGTGTATTGTGTCAACTAGTAATATTTATTTAACTTAGTTCAAGGACCTCTGTGTATTGTGTCAACTAGTAATATTTATTTAACTTAGTTCAAGGACCTCTGTGTATTGTGTCAACTAGCAATATTTATTTAACTTAGTTCAAGGACCTCTGTGCATTGTGTCAACTAGCAATATTTATTTAACTTAGTTCAAGGACCTCTGTGTATTGTGTCAACTAGCAATATTTATTTAACTTAGTTCAAGGACCTCTGTGTATTGTGTCAACTAGTAATATTTATTTAACTTAGTTCAAGGACCTCTGTGTATTGTGTCAACTAGCAATATTTATTTAACTTAGTTCAAGGACCTCTGTGTAGTGTCAACTAGCAATATTTGTTTAACTTAGTTCAAGGACCTCTGTGCATTGTGTCAACTAGTAATATTTATTTAACTTAGTTCAAGGACCTCTGTGTATTGTGTCACCTAGCAATATTTATTTAACTTAGTTCAAGGACCTCTGTGTATTGTGTCACCTAGCAATATTTATTTAACGTCATGCAGGACCTCCATCTCTGGAAAGTTTTATTATTTTTTCAATAAAAACTTTGGGTGTATTTTTATAAATTTATTTGCCCTAGTTAATTCAACTTTTTTCAAAATTTGGTTGATAGAGACGGGACGGTTGGTCCTTACATATTTGACCCTTGAGTCTGGAGCTAAATATTGGTGACTATGCCCTCGCTCCTGGTTATTATCATTATGGAGGGACGTGACAGTGAGAAAAAGGAGTTTGGAGGAAATTAGGCACTTTGGTATATTACTCCGCTGTACAGGAGACACACTTGTTGAATTTATCAGGTGGAAGTGGGAATAACAAAAAAAGGGAAGAAAAATTAGATTTGGCCAAACTGGGAGAGGAACAACGAATAGAAATAGATAAACAGGGACAGCGCGAACTTGATAAACTAGATCCAGAAATGAGACTAGCGGAAATAGAGGCAGAACGACAGAAAATTATTAGAGAGAAGCAGGAGTATTACTATCGTGACATTGATAATAATGAGAGTCAGGGTGAGGAGACAGATGGCGTTGCCAGTATCAACAATAACTAATAAGCAATAAACACTGAAAAACAATGCACAAATTGTGAGGATAATTCCAGAAGCCCTGATCAGATACTCACTGTCAGTTGTTGACATGTGTAGTCATATCCATGCCACGGCACACCCAAGATGATTTGCTTGTTTGGTATATGGTGGGCATTGTACTCGCTGATACCTGACAGGCAACAAATAAATTACTGGCAGTTAAAATGAGTACATGCTGGCTGGCAAAAGTACACTGATGAACATGGTATTAGCGAATGAAATGATTTGTACTTTGAAAGATCAAGGTAATGTACACTGAACATGGTATGAGTGAATGAAATGGTTTGTACATGGAAAGAGCAAGGTAATAAAAGAAAGACAACATCGTTGAACTCTCTAAACACTCAAGTCCAGTTTTTTTCCAAATTTATTGTTACATATTATTATATGGTTTTGTAAATTTAAACTCCGTTTTAAGAATGTTAGATGAACAATACGAAACAAAGGACTGAAAACCAGTACATAAAGAAAAACGATTCCAATGCTAGTGATTTTAACAATTTCATTACGGTATACTTAAACTGTTAAACTTATATACAAAATTACAAAATCTAAGAGACAGAAATACAAACTAGACTATATTAAATTACAGCACAGCAAGTGAAAAAGTAAATCTTAGAAGGATACAAATATTAATATATCCACACAAAGAGTATAATCTTTTGTCTAGGAAAATGGCACAAATCTCTCCCCCGGCTGGGACAGCTGCCGGCTTATTTATAGGGAGAAAGTTGGGACCCTCCATAAAAGAAATTCTAGACATTGTATCACCTGATAAAATTCTTTAGAACAAATTGGAAAGGTTTTGAACATAAACAAGCATTTCCCAATCAAGAGTGAGGTGGGGTTGGTACAGCGCCACACATTTAATCGGTGACATCAATATCAAATTTAAATAAGGGGAGACAAGTAGTGGTGGCCACAACTCTAAGTACAAGTAAAATTAGGCCAACACACATGCTATAACAATTAAGAACAAGGGCTTCCCCAAGTCCTGTAAATATAGTTTAAATTGCTTGAGTGGAAAGTACATTTTCTGTCACATGATCAAACCAAATATTTTAAAAGTTCGTTTCGAAAATTCTATGCTTCAACTTCTCCTGTTGTAAAACTCTGGGTAAAGTCATTAAACTTATGTTTAATTGTGAACTGGGTGAACAAAGAGTTAGTCCAGAACTGCGTGACGAATGAGATTAATTAAACTTAGCATTGAGTGACGTACACTACATAAAAAAACAAATTACCATAAACTAATTTAGAAAATGGAATAGTCGCCCTGGCCATGCATTTGACCCCATCAAGATCTGTAAAACTTTCAGGATTGATAATAAAAAGATCACAGCCATCGGTGGACAGTTTGGAGAAGTCACACTCCTCTTCAATTTCTGAACAGGGGGGTCTCCAGGGTATTATGCAAGCAATCTGTAGAATCATGGATTGGACACTTTTTACATACTGACGCATGCAACATAAATATGTGAAATGTTATTGTTTATGGATTTGGAAAATATGTTTTATAAGTGTGTGATTAAGTGTAAAACTACATAGTCCATTTGGCAATGTTAGTACAGTGGTTTGTGGGCTGAACTGCAGATATTCTCCAGAAATAATTGACTGCCTTTGATCAAGTTATTAAAATAACCAGAAGAACTATTTTTAAAAAATCCTTTCCTTAGCTCTGATGAAGTTAAGCTGTCTGGGACAAGCAATGAGACAGCACTAAGCATTTATCATGAATGAAGGCTGAACACTTACACTACACTGGCACTGAATAAACAACTCAATTTATTTTGTTTTGTTTCTTTATGTTTCAATATTAGTAAATGTTTTTTATTTGAGTCAACCAACAACAATGTTTCAGCGTACACATTCACTGTTGTTTTTTTTTGTCTACCGTAAATGTATTTTTCTTAACATACAGTTTTTTTTTTGTTAGTGAAGAGAGCTACAAATAAAAAAACATTCTAACCCAACTCTACTGTAAAATTATTCATAGGTAAATTTTCACCAAAAATGCCAAAAACTAATTCTAAAAAAATTAAGGAATAAGTTCAATTCAAACTGATTAACGGAAACTTTATGTAACTGAATAAAAAACAACATGGCTAAGCTGAATAAATAACTTTTCAGACATTAAAAAAACAACATAACCTTATGCTCAATGTCATTTTGATTAATGTTTTTGGGAAATATATATTTCTTTCAATCAGCATAAAAACATTTTTTCCACCTCTGTTAAAACATATATATATATAATTTTGTTCAATCAGTGTAGACTCCTATGTTAATTTGTCATGATCTTTCACACGGTGTAATACATCGTACTATTCTTAGTATCACTGAATAAACTCAAGTCCTTTTCATAATAATTATAAAATTAATATCTAATTATAAACACATACATATAGCGCAGCTCGCTATCAGACATAAATAAAACACATCCTACTTCTACAAAGTTCCTTTCAAGACTGCCGCACGACTGAAACTTAAGTCACAATACCGTCTTAGACAATACGTCACTAAGTCAAGCGCGGGAAGAGCGTTCACTAACTTATAAAACTCTCAAACACACACAGCACGTAATAAAAGCATAATATTCAGTCCCAACAATGATCAATGAACTCCTATACTCTACAATCAGAAAGTGGCTTAAAATGTCCCAAACATATTTCTAGTGATGTTACTTTAATCTATCAGCACAAACCTGGATGGTATAGCTTGTACTACCATTTCTGACTGCATCCTTGGTGTTCTTCAAAAGCACAGCTAAGTTTTCATGATCTTTTGTTGAACTGTTGACATCGTTCTTAAAGTAAGGCAGCAAATTAATGGCCACCACTTCAGCATGCCACTGGGCTTGCTTGGATTTGACCGTTGCTATCCATTGCAGAGTTTCATTCGATGTCACATTAATTTGGCCATTTAAAGTCATGTCCACTGTGGAGTCAAAGTACATTTGACAATCTCAAATAATAAGTAGAGCTGATCATAGCAAATGATTTAAGAAAACGGTGACAGTTGCCATAACCTGGAATACACATGAGAGGAAGTTTGCAATGGACATAGGAGTGAACTCTTTGAGACAAAACATATTTTATTTTGACAGTATGTCTGATCTAGTAAAATTTCTTACAAATGTTTATTTTATTATCAGGTGTTTTATAAAAATAATATTATCAGCTTATTTGATATCAGAAACTCCTTATTTGTACAGAAAATTATGTTAAAAATTCATATGAAAAATTCACTAAAATTGTATGTAGCTGTCAATTATGAGCAAGTTTATAATTTAGTAGACTAATCATTTTAAAAACAGCGTAATTACATTTTTTAAACTTGAAAACTGTTTGATTAACACTCACCTGTGAAACCAAACTTCCTTTTTTTACTATGTGCAACACACATTGTTTTAAATTGAGCTGCATTATTATAGTCAAAACTTGCTGAAACTATTAAAGTAGTGATTGAGTTCCAACTCCAGGTTTCAACATCTGTTTCTTCATTACTAAACACGTAGACCTGATTGATAAAGATATTCTTCATCACTAAACATATAGACCTGATTGATAAAGATATTCTTCATTACTAAACACATAGACCTGATTGATAAAGATATTCTTCATAACTAAACGCATAGACCTGATTGATAAAGATATTCTTCATTATTAAACAAATAGACCTGACTGATATTTTATCTATTAAAATTCACGATAATCTCATTTTTAATAAAAAGAATATAAATATTGACACTTTCCCCCATCATTTTTAAATGTCCACGGGAAGAGGACACAAACGAGTTTCAAAATATCTAAATCTTTCGGTTTTGGTAGAAATCAGACAAATCCCATTCGATCTGTCTATAATTTCCGGTATAATTACTAGATGATATCACAAAACTAAAACTTTATACACAAAAGCATTAACATTTCAATGGGACATCGTGACACGTGCCAGTGATTTTAATGTTCATTCTCACATGAAAACTTGGTCATTTGTGACAAACAATAACAATAAATAGACAAGATAGATGGTTAGCAAAATTTGAGATGAGTGCAACCTCTGAATTTTTATATAAATTTTATTCTCCTTTTCATAATTTACTTTTATGTATAGAAAACACAAATAAGTATCCCTTTGTGTGAAGTAATTGGTGTATATATAGAAAACACAAATATGTGCGCCTTTCTGTGATGTACATGCAATGGCTTAGGGCAGTACTGTCCAACCTTTTTGACTCTGTGGGCAAACAAATTTTTTTTCCACAAAGCCAAGGGTAGAACACAACATCTTAAAAGAGACATTTTTGGGGGTAATTTTAAGAAAATTTTTCACATTATTAATACTTCTTACCTTGTGCATAAATAAACTAAATCCAGTAGCATTGACAGCCCATCAAGAATATTAATCAAAGTGAATAGAAACAGTGGAGCTGACATAATGAGCTATTTGGCTTTGAATTGTAACTGTTTCTTAATCTAAGGTAGTTATCAGTAGCACCTGACCTCATTAGATTTTCTAAATGTTCACCAGTCAAAGCGTTACCTTTTTGTTCGTTAATAACAGATAATCCAGCGTCACTTAAGTAGTAGGTGCTTCCAAAGACAAAGTAAAAGTTTTGTTACATTACCACAGTTGGAAATTCATCAGGTGAAATATATGTCATCCAATATTGATTCTTTAATGTTTGTTTCTATATAAAAAAAAAATATGTTCAAAAATCGTTCCTACTGTCTCTCACAATCCTGCCTGACTGGATAGCACTGACTAAAAATAAAACAGCTTGTATCCTGCTTTCTACTTATTGAACTTCTCACACTCCAGTCTCTGAATACCAGGTAGTTGTCCCCAACTTCACAACAATACAGACACACTCTCCCATACCTGGCCAGACTAACTGTTAAAATAACATGGTACCATAAATGGTCCACACTGCCCATCACAGTCATTTGAGACTTATGTACCCCAACTCCCATCTCTAATTCTCTGAACCATTATCCTCCAAAAAATCTCAGTTGTTAACTTGGATGCTGACCTATCTAGTTCATCTGACTTGTCACAATAGTGAGGCATGGGCATTGCTACTATGAACAAATAGCTACACATCAAGTTAGCTTTGGTTTCCCAAGCCATTAGTAGTTATACCCCATATCCCTCCTGTCCCTCTGCCACCTTCCTTGCACAAGCAACAGAGAGAAGAAGACAGTATCCAATTTCATGTGACCCTGTGTTCCCCCATGGTTGCTCTGCCTATGGGCTGAACATAAATTACTGCTACCTGTCAAGCACTCCCACCCCTTAGCTTTTTTGACACCACGCCCCACCCTTTTCCATGTGACAACATCTCCTGTACTCTCACATGTTTCCAAACAGAAGGGAACTAATGATTGTCCTTTAAAAATATTTTCACTGGAAAATGTTTTATTCTTTATAATAAATATTTATAAAGTTGTGGCGTGCCATTTAAAATGCATCAGCGACTGCAGGTTGGACCAGCACTGGCTTCGGAATTGAGGGTTAAAGGTAATTTCAATAGATTCTATGCACTATAATATTATTGAAAGAAAATAATAGTTATCAGTGAACTCCATTAGGTCATAAAGATAATAAAAATGAACAAATTTTTTACTTTAAAATTTTAAATAAAGATAGAAACAATGAATTCACCATGAAACAGTGGACAGGTAAACTGCTTTACTTTTAAGCAAACACATCCACTTTCTTCCTTTATATGCTGTTCTGTATCATAACAAACACAAAGACGGATTACAATCTGCATCAAAATATATAAATTGTTTCAAGATGCTAGCTTACCTCTTTAGATTGGCTGTCTTTTTCATATTGCTGCTTACAGTCCTCCTCATTTTCACATCTGCAATTTTTAGCTGCATAAACTGAGCACAGGAATGCAGAAAGAAGTAGTATTGTCTTGCCAATGTGCCACATCTCAGGACCAGCGTTGAATGGCATCCTGACCTGTGAACATTATGTAGGCACATAAAATTTTATCATTTGGTCACCTCATGGTGTCTACCACAAGCATCAATCTGAACACTGCGTATGCCAACTTACCTCTTACTTAACTACCACAAATTTCAAGGGTGGTGCAGGGGAATGACCCCTACACAGAGGACAACTAGTGAGGCAAAACAAGTAGTGAGGCAGGTCAAGTAGTGAGGCAGATCAAGTAGTGAGACAGGTCAATTAGTGAGGCAGGACAAGTAGTGAGGCAGGTCAAGTAGTCAGGCAGGTCAAGTAGTGAGACAGGACAAGTAGTGAGGCATGTCAAGTAGTGAGGCAAGTCAAGTAGTGAGGCATGATAAGTAGTGAGGCAGGACAAGTAGTGAGGCAGGACAAGTAGTGAGGCAAGTTAAGTAGTGAGGCAGGTCAAGTAGTGAGGCAGGGCAAGTAGTGAGGCAGGTCAAGTAGTGAGGCAATTCAAGTAGTTAGGCAGGACAAGTAGTGAGGCAGGGCAAGTAGTGAGGCAGGGCAAGTAGTGAGGCAGGGCAAGTAGTGAGGCAGGGCAAGTAGTGAGGCAGGGCAAGTAGTGAGGCAGGTCAAGTAGTGAGGCAGTTCAAGTAGTGAGGCAGGACAAGTAGTGAGGCAGGGCAAGGAGTGAGGCAGGTGTAGTGAGGCATGTCAAGTAGTGAGGCAAGTCAAGTAGTGAGGCATGATAAGTAGTGAGGCAGGACAAGTAGTGAGGCAGGACAAGTAGTGAGGCAAGTCAAGTAGTGAGGCAGGTCAAGTAGTGAGGCAGGGCAAGTAGTGAGGCAGGTCAAGTAGTGAGGCAATTCAAGTAGTTAGGCAGGACAAGTAGTGAGGCAGGGCAAGTAGTGAGGCAGGGGAAGTAGTGAGGCAGGGCAAGTAGTGAGGCAGGTCAAGTAGTGAGGCAGGGCAAGTAGTGAGGCAGGTCAAGTAGTGAGGCAATTCAAGTAGTTAGGCAGGACAAGTAGTGAGGCAGGGCAAGTAGTGAGGCAGGGCATGCAGTGAGGCAGGGCAAGTAGTGAGGCAGGGGAAGTAGTGAGGCAATTCAAGTAGTTAGGCAGGACAAGTAGTGAGGCAGGGCAAGTAGTGAGGCAGGTCAAGTAGTGAGGCAGGTCAAGTAGTGAGGCAATTCAAGTAGTTAGGCAGGACAAGTAGTGAGGCAGGGCATGTTGTGAGGCAGGGCAAGTAGTGAGGCAGGTCAAGTATGACACTGAACATGCCAGTGTAGTGAAACTTTCAAAAGTGTGGGTGTGGGAACAGACTTAAAGGCATTGCTGACCACTCTGCTCAGGGTGTCACAAGTGAATGAAGCAGTGGTTTCCAAACTTTTCCCTAGAAGGCCTCCTAAACAACATAATGCATCCCCACTGTACCCCTCACACATTTTTATTTATAAATATGTGACTGTGTGTGTGCATCAGTGAGTGTGTGTGTGAGAGTGAGTGTCGTAAACACCAAAGAATCGCCACATCAGGTTTTAAAGATCTTAAAATGAAGTATTCTTGGTCTGAGGGCACAGACTTTTCAGGCATGTGCAGATAATCCTAAAATATCCCCTAGACTGCACACTCTTATCAAGTCATACCACGAGGTCAAGCACATTTCAGTATGCTTCAACTTACACGATGGATATATGATTTCTTTCACACTCTCTATTGGTGGAGAGGTGAATGTCAGGATCACATTTTAATGTTTGGTTAAACATATCCTTCATTTCTATTGTTCATATAAACATCTTTCAAAATAGTAACTAGGCTCACAAGCGTCTTCATTAAATGTCTTGTAACGTGCTCTGAACATCCAGGCCTGTGCTAGGGGGGTCCATGCTCTGAACATCAAGGCCGGTGCTAGGGGGTGCGTGCTCTGAACATCAAGACCGGTGCTAGGGGGGGTGCCTCCTCTGAACATCAAGGCCAGTGCTAGGGGGTGCAGGGCCTTGGGCTAATTGAATTTGTGGGGTCTTTAACAAGGCTTTTAGTGAAAAATCAACTTCCTTGCTTTCGTTGGGGCAAACACTTCAATGAGTCTTCACAGTCAAGGGTGGTAACAACACCCCGTTCTATTAATAACTTAGCAAGTCCATTCAAACCTGACACATTGAATCTTGCAAGCAATTTTTTTATCAGTTTTAACTTCTTTTTCCACTTTTAACAAGTACTGGCATTGTCAACATTAATTGACCATCACAGTATTCGGAAAATAACAGAGTTGCTGAATATCATACAGAAAGCCAAAAATGTCATAAGTACAATTGCAGTTGGAAATAGGTATTTATGGATCGCAACATTTGGTCTGCTAACCACAAGAAATATTCTATCCTAAAAGGTTCTTCAGGCATATTTTGTGTCTCATCTCTAAACTGATATTTAACTCCCCCTTTCTTCCCTTAATGTGGCATTCTTTAAACACCGGTTCAATGTTCGTTTCTGATGCTATTTTGTATGCAGTGGTCATTGCTGATGCCAATACTTCTTCTCTGTATTTGGTGAAGAAATGGATTAGACCTTGGATATGTGTGATGAGTACATCAAGTCAAATAATGGAAGCCAGCAAGATTTTGCTGACTGTTGGACAGCAATCAAGACGTCAAACCATATTAACATGACCATGGCAAGTAGAAATTTAAAAAATCCAAAGATTGTACAGGTAATTCGCAAGACAGGGAGCTAACAATTCACTTTAGGGTCTTCATGTGATTGCACTTAAGGGATAGTACAGGAAAAGGACAGACTGATTATTTGATTATCTTGTATCTCCGACCTTTTTGTTGGTTGTAAATTATGAACAATGAATATGAATGACCTGGCCAAATTAATAATAGTATGTTATATTGTAAGGGCTATGCACGGGTACCCCACAAGCATAGGAGCTGTGCAATCATCCTAAAATCTACACACTTAAGACTGGCAAAATATTTATCTCCGTCCCAGATACTTCAAGCTAAGGTTACGAGGGAAAGTGTTTAAGAAGAGAATTTTCAAATTGCCCAAGCAATAAATTCAAATAATAAAACATGTTTTGATTTTGGCTCAGTGCTTTAGCTAAAAGTTAACAATTATTTTGTGGCACCCGTAAGGGATTGATGTGGCATTCCAGGGTGCAGGAAACCCTATGGATTAGAGCATGGAAATGAAAGGATGACAGCCCCTCAGTTAAAAACCTCTGGATTGGATTATGGAAATGAAAGGGTGCTAGCACCTTGCTTGAAAACCTCTGGATCAGAGCATGGAATTAAAAGTGTGCCAGCATTGAAAGGGCAGAATTAAAAGTGTGCCAGCATTGAAAGGGCAGAATTAAAAGTGTGCCAGCATTGAAAGGGCAGAATTAAAAGTGTGCCAGCATTGAAAGGGCAGAATTAATAAAAGTGTGCCAGCATTGAAAGGGCAGAATTAAAAGTGTGCCAGCATTGAAAGGGCAGAATTAAAAGTGTGCCAGCATTGAAAGGGCAGAATTAAAAGTGTGCCAGCATTGAAAGGGCAGAATTAAAAGTGTGCCAGCATTGAAAGGGCAGAAATTATGTTTCAAATTTTAAAACTTTAAAAGAATGTGAAAGCTGGTAGAGTTGGGAAAGCAAAAATTGTCAGGTAGGAGGGGATGTCGCAGGAGGGGATGTCGCAGGAGGGGATGTCGCAGGAGGGGATGTCGCAGTAGGTTATGCTCATCATTCATTGACATGCAATTTGTAATAAATTGAGCACATGGCCAGAATTAAGAGGTCAGGCAAGGGTTATTTATTTTTGGTGGCACTTTTTTCTATATATCTGGGGTCTGCATTTTTATGCCTCAATGCGAACACTACTTTTTCTTGACACTGCCCTATTTGCATGTATGTAAAAAATGTATGTATTGGGCAGTATCCATGACATTACGTCAGAGTGAATAACAAACTTTCTTTGGTTGATATTTTTGCCAAATATCATATTCACAGAGTTAGTTGGAATATTCATTCTTCCATCTATGCACCTTTCAATTTCTGAGTGGACTATTGTTAGCTATGGCATATAATATTGCCATTATTTAGCTGAATAAAATGCAAATTCTTAAATATTTTAAAACGAAAGTATAGTTAGCAAGTCTTACAGAAATAATTTTAACATTTTAAATTCATTATGTAATAAAGTAGCAGCAGCATGCAATAAAAAATATTTTTTTAAACTTCAAAAAAAAACGACTTTCTATCAAAGATGAGTTAAAACATACTAAAAAAGAGAAAATAATTTTAAATTTCTTAGAGTGCATTAATCAAGGAAAAACTGGGCAGGAAATATTTTCAAAAATTAATAAAAATAAAACAAACTTAAGTTTTGTCTGCATTAAATTCGAATCGTTTGGCTGTATAAAGTGCTCATCTACAATTCTTAAGACTCAATCTTAAAATGTCACGTGTGTAAACAAAAAAATAACGCTCCACAAGATGGAAATGCAAGCCGAGAGAAAGACTTTAAAAATGAAGACAAGAGAATAGGGTCACAAAATGAGGTGGTGCAATCCTGAAACCATACCACTGCACTACTGGTACATAGTCAAAGAGAGTAAAAAGGAAAACCGAACTCACATTTAGATAATTATTAGCTCAAAAACTACTAATGCTTATGGATGTTGGTTTTTTAAATTTTTTATTTGTTTTTTGAAGCCCCTACGGCTAGGTTAATCCCAATTTAATATTAGGCCTGTGTGAGGAAGGAAGCATTGCGCTCTACTCAGCAGTTACTAACGTTTAGTTGCTTCACAGAATAAGCTAAGCCACAGGTTATTATAATCACCCATATCCGGCATAGCTGACCCAGTAGTCAATATCAATTTATTTATAATTAATTTAAATTAAGTAATCTTAGGGCACTTAACTTAGGCTAGAGTTGGATAAATTGATTATATTTTATAATTTATAGTAGGGCTGGGTGACCGGGGGGGGGCGACCTGAATACCCAGAAATGCTGAGTATTAGCACATCTGGTACCAGACCAGGCAAAAAAACAGAACTGGGTCCGTGTATTAAAAAAAGAAAGAGTTCTCTTCTCATTTTCAATATATTTTTCTCTAATTTTTTTTTAGCTACCTGAATTAAATAAATAATAGAAAACTGACTAGCATTTGGTGCTAAACTAAATGTAAGCTAAATAAAACTGCAAAGCTCTGAAAATAATTATGTAATTCCTACGAATGTTGTTAATTATTTGTCTTAGCAAAATGCATATCTTTGGTTTTGGTTATGAACATGGCATTTTCTATTTACAAATAATTTTTCATTTCACGTTCTGACTGGCTGATGATACTGAATAGCCAATGTTTGTGTATGAATCATTTCTTAAGTTTTGTCATAGAATTAAATAATAGTAATATAATTTAACACTCATTTAATAATATAAAATATTGGCTTAACTAAAGGAATGCTAGCAAGGAAATGCCATGATGATTATATAAATATTTATTAAAATATTATACATACATTGGTATCAGACAAATGAAAACTGCTATCAACAAGCAACACTGACGCAAATATTTTTGTTATGTTCATGTGTTAAGGGAGTGGTTCTCACCTTGTGGATCTCAAACCCCCTTAAGTTAGCCTAATAAAATGTCAGGGATCGCTTAAGAATTCAGAAATTTCCGTTGGTGGGGGGGGGGGGGTTGTCAAGGTCAGGGCCCGCAGGCAATTTGTGGCCCGCAAGACAATATTTTGCGGCCTGTCACCTGAGAGCACTCATCTCTACAATGTGACCTTCCGAGACGGTTTCAGTCGAATCTCACAGACTAAAATAATTCTGGTTTTTATTATGCTTGTATAGGTTTGGATGTTGATTATAGTGGTAAAACTGCTTTTAAAATCGAACTAAAAGTTTTTATTTTATAGCATTTATGAGAAAAACATGGTCAAAGTGCGGTTTTGATAAAAATGTTAAAAGTCAGCTAGTGGGTAACGCACAACCATAATCTGACACAGTATCAAAGAATACCTATTAATATTGCTGCTAGTGTTTACGAGTGAGGGAAATTCCGCGAATGTCAGCCTGGTCACTTTCAAAATAGGGTTAGTCAAAAAGGCCTTTTCTACGATAAAAAATAAAAATTCATTCTCCCTACAATGGCATCTTCCTTTGCATCAATAATTCATAAATATTTCCTGCTTCTGCCTACTGTTTGAACACATTTTAGCCTTCAGTGAAAAATAAACGCAACAAAACAGCGAATGTGTCAGCACACTTCTATTGCTGCCCACAGATACTACTTACCAGCTAAGTGCTATTTCTTATTTTTATACCGTTTTTTCTGTTGTTTTGTTCGCTGACGAAGGCTTTCTGCCGACACATTCACTGTTTTGTTGCGTTTATTTTTTCAGGTTTAACCCTACTCTGTTTTACTCATTTTATTGTGTACTAACCTGATTGCAGTCTCTCCCCTTATTATCACATTTTCATATAGTTTTCATAGATAAAAAACTATTAAAGTTTAAGTTAAAGCTCAAAGTCAAAGCTAGTTAATGAGTTAATGTTTGATTATATTTTTTCCCATAAAGCCATAAAACTGTTATTATAGGCCTAGTCTAAGATAGATCTAGGTGTATTTTTTTTTTTTACTCTGGAAGTGGAAACATTGCCGCAAATTATGCTTACTTAGGACGCTTTGCTACCACCCATATATAATATTTAGGCGTGTCTCGCCATACCCATCATCGGCCTAAAATAAATGAAGTAAATAATATTTAACAACTGTGCACGAGAAGTACAGCTAGGTCTTATAGCTATATTTTGGCTTTATAATTTATAGTCTTCATTTTGAAAATTTTGTCCAAGTACCTACAGTACAGAAATCAGTATAAGTTCATAAGTCATAAGCATGAGCGAATGAATGGGTTGGTTTAAATAGTTAATTACTAACCAGTATTTCTGTAAAATTACAAAATAGCGCAACTAATACTGCAACAGATTAGTTGAATTAATTATTGACTGTCACTGTTAAACCTAGTCTAGTCACCAGCCAGGTAACTCAACTCAACACTTCCTGATTTCGGGCCATAGGTTATACTATGTAACGGACTGGTCCAATATTTATCCGACTACTTCGCTTTCGATGATAACCTGTTACATAGTCATAGGTTAAACATTGCGTACTTTAAAATTATAACCGTTATCATAATCATAATTACATTTTACTCTTAATAAATATGTTTATATTATATGGACATTTGAATTTATTTGCCAATAATAAAGTAAAATGACCTAAAATGGCTAGACGTAAGCCTAGACTTATCAAAGCATATAATATGTTATATTAAGAGCTAGCTAATATACTCGGCGTCCCCCGGGTTTCCCAATCTCAATAGGGACCCGATCTAGTTGGGAACCATTTCCCGATCCCAATATGATCCCAATGGGATAACGATGGGATCCCGATTCCAATGGGGATCCCATATCTCGATGGTATCCCGATCCCGATTCCAAGTGGGATCCCATATCCCGATGGTATAGCCTACCAATCCCAGTATATTCCCTTTCCCGATGGGATTCCGAACCCATTACGATCCCAATTCCAAGTGGGATCCCATTTCCCGATGGCTTCTCATTCCCAGGGGATCCCTTTCCCGGTTGGTTCCCGACCCCATTGTGATCCTGATCCCGATTGGATTCCAATTCCAAATGTGATCCATATCCCGATTCAGTCCTGGAATCCTGATGCCTGATGGAATACCGATGGGATCCCGTTTCGAAATGAAATCACAACTATTTATTCTTGGTGTGTTCTTTTTCCTGGTTGGATCCCGTTATCGGTGGGATCCCGACCCCATTGCCATTGGGATCCCGATGGGATTCCACTATCAGATGGGATCACGATGCCGGCGTGATCCCTTTCCCGGTGTCGTCCCGACGCCCATTGGGATCCAGATGGGATCCCGTTTCAGGTGGGACGCCGATCCCGATGGGATCCCGTATATAAAGATTACTCAGTGGTTCCGAGAAAATCTACAGGAAAGCATAGAAATGCAATGACTTACCGTAAATAACATTACAATTAGCTTTTATTTCCCCACTATATATCCCCATGGAACAACATAGAACTTTCTGGAACATTCTAGATTAAATTTAATAGCCCCTCGAAATGTGTGAAAAATGAAATTTCTACTTCTTCTTCTTCTTCTATATCTTAAGGGCCCACGATCAATTTATTGATCATTTTGGCTCCTATGCATGTAGATGGGATTTGCAATGTTTCTGTTACTGGTGGTGATGAGGAAATTATGCACTAGGGGTTTGAATACTTGGTTATATTCGAATACGAAACATTCTACAACTAAATATCATAACTATAAAAAAAATTCCTTAAAGTTAAAAGAGGGGCCCGGTGGAGGCCATTTTTTATAAGGTACCTTTCAAGCCATGCTTGAGAGAGGGGGTCCTATAAAAAAACATTCAGATAAATAATAGAGTTGAAATTCAACGTGTCCCAATAAAATAGATTTAAAAATGCCATAGATCTAGCCTTTTTAAATAACAGAACTTTCTGGAAAATTCTTGACATGCACTGAATTGACTGGATATTTTTATTTTTAATCCACCGATATTTTAACATTGACTGTGATGGGTATTGCTACCAAGCTAGGCCTTGGACCATAAATTCACATAGAGCCTAAAGTTTTGTCTAAGCCTATTGATATTTATATGGCTTATGTGGGGAAAATGAAATGGGGGCCCCAGCCCCAAACGAGTGGATATTATGAGTTCAGTACCCTTCGGTATTTGATTTGGATAATCACGTGTAGCCTCTGTGTTCTAACTTAAGTCAAGATCCATACATTCATGTTGGAGTATTTGATGGTAAGGGGTAGCAATTTTTGCCCCCCCCCCTAAAAAATGAAATGACGCCCCTGATGGACAAGGTCTATAGTAGCTGATTGATCATTTTCATCTTGCAGCACCGATATACCAGACAAGTCAACATCATCCTCATCTAACCATTCAGCACTTAAAATAGAAGCGTTGTCGATGTGAGCAATAATTGCCGTAAGCTCTCTCTATCTCATTGCAGCTACTCGCATTGGTCGAATCCTTTTTTGTTGAGGAGCAGGTGGTAATTTCTTGATAAAGAATGCATTGTCGGTGCTTTTGAACATGATTGGTGATGCAAAATAGATGTTACAAATTTTTCAAATCTGTTCAAGCAGCGATGCTATTATTGTTACTCACTTTACTTTCCCTTAATTCTCAAAATATCGTATTCTTACTCTATCAATATCATTTATCTTGAATGCACATGACACTTGAACATTGTCCTTGTTCCATACCTGCAACAGAATGTAAAGGTGAAGAGAGGCCAACTTTTGACTTCTCTTGCACTAACAAAGTGTGCTAACATTCTGACCAGCCATCTGCAGTGCACAGACACGCATTAAATAAATCTTATATTTTTAAAAGCCTAAAAATTATATGACTATTTACACTCATTTATACTTATACATTTTTTTAAAATTATTAAAATAATGTAATAACCAGTCATTTTTTAAAGATTAAAATTTTAATAGAGAAAACATTATTTTTGACGTCAACTAATCTAAACCCCCTTCCTCCCCCTTGTCAACAACTGTCAAACATTTCCTAACCCCCTATTTTGTTGACGTAATTGATGGACGCACCCCTAATTTTATTTATATAGCTTATATAAGAAAGAAACGAATCCAGGCCCCCGGCCCCAAACGGAATGCTATAAAAAGTTCAAAACCCCTCAAGGGTTCCTTCTGGATAATGATGGATTTATATATATATATATATATATATAATATACTTTTATTAAATTTATAACGTAATAAAAACGTAACCTTCAAATACACTGTTGATGAAAACAATTCAATCAGCGCAGCTAAACTCCACTCCATAGCACAATAGCATTCACTAATGCACTTATCACTCATTCAATAAATGATAACAAACCATATGAAGTGCAAAAAATGTGTGTTTGCGTACAGAGGGGGCTACAATCCCGTGGATGATTGTATTATTTTTTTAAAATAAACTCCTTTTTTCCTCTTTTTCTTCGGGGGTGGGGTGGGGGGTGGTGTTACGATGCTTCTATTTTGCCCCGGGAAGCACAGGATACGCCTCAGAATAAAGAAATCAATTTAATAAATAATTAACTTTCTTCGATACCGTACATAAATGACAGGGACAGGAAATAAGGTGTCTATGTTTAATTATTGTTGTGAAAAATAGATGTTCTATTTTTTACAAATAAACATTTGTCTACAAATTAAGATTTAATTTTGAAAATTCGAGATGGGTTATGATTTTCTTTCAAAAAATGATAATATATTTTTGTTTTTGCTTTGCCAAAAGTAAAATGGGTGTATAGTATTTGATATTAATTAAAAACATTTACTGAAAAAAAAACAAAAAAAAACAAACACTCAAAGCTGTTACAGACGTGAAAACCGGTAGAAAAACTCTTCTTTAGATAAAAGAATTCTTTTTATACGATTTTCCGATAATATAGTAGAAAACAAAGGCAAATGTTTGGTTAATTTTTTAATGAAGATATCAGCATATCAAATTCCGTTAATATAAAATATATTTAAAATGGCATGCAGAGTTTTTGTTGTAAATTTAAGATTAAATTTTCAAAATTTTTAGAGGAAAAAAAAGTTTAGGGCAGGGGTCGGGAACCTTTTTGTCTGAGAGCGCCATGGACACCACATATTTTGAAAGGTAATTATTTGAGAGCAATACATTATGTTTAACACTAAAAATTCAAGTAAATGTGTGCATTTTGTGTAATTTCAACACTAAATGCAATAATTACGTTTCTGAATTCTTTTTAATAACATTGTTATGCTGTTGCTAATCAATAATGAGTATTTCTTACCATTAATGCGACTTTTTTTTTTTGTAATCGAACATTTGTCTGCGAGCCAGATGCAGCCATCAATAGAGCCACATCTGTTCGCGAGCCATCTATAGGTTCCCGCCCGACCCCTGGTTTAGGGGCATGAAAAGTGGTAGTGTTGGCCCACAGTTAACAATTTAAAAACACATGACAGCTAAAGTATTTCTCTAGCGTGGGACATCAGCCGTTAATGAACTCCTTTAGTGAAAATAATGATTTAATTAGTGATCATTTAGATTTGGTAATTTAAGGTCATGTTTAGAGAAAAAAAAATGCATTTCAGGGGCCTGAAAATGGGTAGGGTAGGCGTATAATATATAGCAGAAAATACTTCATAAAACTTTTAATGATGTTAGAGACGTAAACATTATTACACAGATACTTCTTTTTAAGGAACTGTAATGAGTCTTCGTAATAGCAGGTAGAAATTATCGCAAAGTGCCTAGCATTATGATCCCGATAACATCGGGTGATATTTTCTAGTATATATGATATGATCAACAATAAACAGTGAAACCTGGAAATAACGCAAAATCGTGGGACATATCTAAAGTAGTGCTACTTGCAAGGATGATGCTATCAGCAGGTTCGGCCAGTTTTAAATTATCGTTCAGTGCCTTGGCCGATGTGACTTAGCGCATATGTCAGGGCCAGCGCTTTTTCGACGCCCGTTATTTCCAGGTGGTATCTACAGGTACCGGTACCGTACCACAATTAGTTTTAAAAGTTTTAATTTTTTTTTTTAATGGCTCGATAACAAAAAGTAGGCCTGTATAACAAATGGACAATACCATTGATTACGTGAATACATCTAATAATAGAAAGTTAAAAATATTGATCCACAAACATAGTAAAAATCGTTTGAGTCTTGTAGGTCTCGTGTGCATCTTGTAGCTCTATCGGTCACAGTTGACCATCTTATTTGTGTAGGGGGAGACGTTTAGAAACTCTAGCTCCATGACAGCCTTTAAGTAGAACTTTCTAGTAAGATGTAGAGAAGCAGTGCTAGGAGGATGACCCGACAAGTTAGTTGCTGATGAAAGTTACAAAAATCAAAGGAGAGATAATCGATACAACGACTCCGCCGTGAACCAACATTGGGCCAACAAAGTCTACACCTCAGGGCTATAACACCAGGTT